TTTTATCCTCTGCACAGCTGGTAATATTAATAGTTCCTACCTGCTGAGATTGTCGTGAGGATTAAACAAGTTAATCCACGTACAGCCCTTAGAACAGTCCCTGGCACATAGTAATTACTCAGTAAACATTGCCTCTTATTGTTAATAAAGCACCCCAGTGGCTGACATATAGTAGGTTCTTAAAAGTTTTTTTTCTCTCTCTAAAGATTTATAAATGTGTAAACAAATGTTTCTTTCTCTTTCTTTCTGTCTTGCTTGCGAGGGTCTCACTCTGTCACCCAGGCTGGATTCCACTGGCATGATTTTGGGTCACTGCAACCTCCATCTCCCAGGTTCAAGCGATTTGCATGCCTCAGCCTCCCAAGCAGCTGGGACTACAGGTGTGCATCACCACGCCACGCCGAGCTAAATTTTTTGTATTTTCAGTATAGATGGGGTTTCACCATGTTGGCTAAGCTGGTCTCAAACTCCTGGCCTCAAGTGATCTGTCCACCTTGGCCTTCCGAAGTGCTGGGATTACAGGCGTAAGCCACTGTGCCTGTCCAATAAATGTTTCTATTGTTTGTTCCTTATTTATTGAATGAATGAATTTGCTGGTGAGTCAGAAGAGATGGGGGATGGGGGGCTGCCTTAGGTCCTGGAGCCCCACCTGCTGAGTGGTTAAAGGCTTGTGCCAGGGGATTCCTTCAAGGTCTGGAGTTGTTGGCCCTTTCTGGCCTGGAATACTGGGAACCTGTCCCAATCTGGAAGGTAATGAGCAGAGAAGTCTTCTGTATGAGCATAAGGTTCAGGGCCACATGAGTCTGTCTGCATGGAGTAGGAGATGATCACGAGCTCTGGAGTCACACAGACGTGCTTTTGACTCCTAGCTCCACCACTTGCTGAGTTGCTTAACTTCTCTGTGCCTCAGTTTCCTTATCCATAAGGGGAAAATAATAGTTCCTACCTCATAGTGTTGCCATGAGGATCTAAAATTTTGTTAGATTAGTACTTACCTCATAGGAGTATGAGGGTAAAATGAGTAAATACTGTACATACAAAACACAGAACAGTGCCTGCTATGGAGTGAGTACTCAATCACCGTTAGTTATTGTCATCATGAAAACTGCAGCCCCTAAACTCTGTCCCTGAGCTGAGCTTGGGACCAATGGTGGGAGTTGCCGGGGGAATGTTTGGCCTTCCCCTCCAAACAAAGCCTGATGAGATAATCCAGGACCAAATGAGCTTAGAAGCCCCATTGGCAGGGGTACTCTCCCACTTCCCAGTTTGCCAGCAATCAATCATCATCCTACATTTCTGTTGTGCTTTTAACCCAAAGTGCTCTCCTATGCATCATTTCATTTAATCTTCACAATTATCCAATGAGACAAGACAAATGCATATTGGCATTTGACAGAGAGAGAAACTGAGGCCCAGGGAGCTAATACAGCTAATACAGCAGGGAGGCGTCCACCATCCCTCACTGCCCCTTCTACAACTGTAGCAGACCCTCCCCGGTCCGGTTATTGCCCTGAGGCAGAGTTTGCACCCTGTTCACCTGCTGGCTTCCAGCACCTGGCTCATGAGGGACAGGGCCTTGTAACCCAGATGGCAATGCCATCAGCATGTCAATTGTCCATCAACACCTGGAGTGAGGCAGTACCAGGAGGTCAGAGCTGAATGAGTTTCTAAGAATCACTGTGATCCCAGGCAGAGGCCATTTACAGGGTATAACCACCCCCCAACCACCCAGCCAGCCACAGCCAGGGCTGCGCTAGCCACACCCTCCGCAGAGCCCGGGACTGCCGGCTGGGGGCGCTTCCGTCAGTTCTCTCCCTTAGGGTCTCTCAAAGGCCTGGTGTTGGGCCCAGCGGGAGGGGGCTGTGAACAGAGGGAGCCGGTGAGTCAGCCGCTAAGGTATTTCTCCAGCAGCTGCTTCTCAGGCGATAAGGGTTTGCCAAGCCCCTTCCTGGGGCCTGGGAGAGGAGAGATGCTTCCTCCGATCTGGGCTGGATTCCCCGAAGGCCTTGGCTCAGGCAGATGACCCAGGTTCTTCCCAGAGACCCTTTTAGGGTGCCCGCAGGAAACTGCTTAGAGAGCTGAGCTGGCCCCATTGTGTAAGCAGCCCCCACCCCACCTGCTAGAAACAGCAGCCAAAACCCAGCAGGATGGAGCTTCCAGAGCAGCGGGAGCCAAGTGGAAGGGGAGGGCGGCCAAAGGGCAGGCGGGGTGGGGGTGGAGGACACTCCGACGCCCAGGTCCTCTTTGCGCCGGGCTTCTTCAGGTGCTGGGTGGACAGTGGGCGCGTCCCATCACCCCTAGGCCCACCTTGCCCTCCTGGGAGCACTGCCATCAGGGACTCCCGTAGAGAGCTCTGCGGCCCTAGTTCCGTCTGATGCCTGGCCTCTCATGGCGGCTCAGTTAGGGTTGGTTTCTATCATCAAGTTAGAGGCAGAAGGGACAGGAGAAAACTCCTCCACGGTCCCGGTCCCCCGCTCCCCGCCTCGCTCCATCCCTTCTATTTCTCAGCAGAGAAAACTCCAGTCCAGAGAGGGAAACGCAGCTACCCAGGACGCACAGTGAGTGAGCTGGTGAAGTCCACGGCTGCCCTGGCGCGTGCGGGACCTTCTGGTCCTCTCACTCTTTCCACCGCATCCACTTGGCCCCATCCCTGGAAAGCCCATTCTGGAGACCTCAGACCTCCTCCGCTCCAGCACGCCCCCTAGTCCCCTCTACCCCCAACCACACCCAGCCCTCCCTCCACTTCACACACAAAAGTTCAGGTTAGACTGTCCGATGGAAATTGGGGAGCAAGAGGAAGGGGTCGGTGGCCGGGTGTCCACGAACGTCAGGGGAGCCATGTGTCAACGCTTTGAGGGCGACAGGGTTCTGCAGGGGGTGGGCGTCCTATAAGGGTGCCTTTCCAGGCAACGGGGGTGGGAAGCCGGCGAAGGAAATACTATGATTTGTTTCCCTCCTCGTTAAAGACTTTTTCCTATAGTCGTGCCAATATAAGCTCCTTTTCGGCTGCCACGCGCAGCCGGCGCCGGCTTCCCTCTCTTGGAGGAGAGGTTCCCGAGCTCTCCGGCTCGCAGACCCGCGTACCCCTCCTCTCGGCTGCACCCCCTCTTGGAGCCCGGCCTCAGCCGCCCGCCGTTTACATTTTAGAGAAGGATCCGGGTGCCGCCGTCCTGGAGCGGCCCACAAAGGGTTAACCCGGGAACACCCGGGGCCGCCCCTCGCCGGAATCCGTCCTGCTCATTGGTGGGAGCCGCAGAGCTCCTGGCCAATGGCGGGAGGCTGCGAGCAGCCGCCCGTGGCGGCGTGGAGGGCACCGGAGGAGTGCAGGGCTCGCGCGGAGGAGGGTCCTAGCCGGCGCCGACGGCCCGCGGCTGTGGGAGCGCAGGGTGCACTGGCTCGGGCCTGCATGGGACCCCTTCTGCGTCTGGGGCCGAGGCAGAATGGCCTGGCCGTCTCACGGTGTCCTAAACCCGTCATCAGTAGCATGGCCCCGCCCCCACCCCCGCGGGGAGAAGTGGAGACCGAGGGTCTCCCCGACCTCCCCGAGTCAAAGGGCGGGCCGGGCCTTAAATCCCCTTGCAGCTCCATCTCGAATTGTCCTACCGTGGGGCGCTTTGGTGGTTCTCTGTCTCTGGTGGCGGCAGAGGGGACTCTCCTGGGGCAGTA